TATGCCCCTGATCAGCGATCTGCTAGAAGATCTGGATAAAGCACTACGATACTGTTCGCTGGGTATGGCTAGCGGCTTCTGGGTCGGGCCCATGACGGATCGGGTTCGCAAGATCTCAGCATTCATCACCCCGTTTGGATTGTTCGAATGGAGTCGCATGCCTTTTGGTCCGAAAAATGCCCGCAGATTTATCAACGCCTCGTAGACAACGCGCTGTATGGATTCATGAAGATCTCGCTATCAGGCGATGCTGGGACCACAACGAACGTGTTCCAGACAGGGATCGCGGACGATCCTGATCGCGAGTCGCGAGTCGGTGTTGGGTCGGAGATCATACATCGACGACATCATGATCGCAGCGGAATCATGGGATCAAATGTGTCGAAGAGTGGAAGATCTGCTGGAGGCTTGCGGTAAGTGGAATTTGTCGATCAGGGTAGCCAAGATGTTTTTGGGGCATGGATAAGGTGGGATATCTCAGACACCGAGTGTCGATCGGAGGTTTGGAGGCAAGCCCGAAAGATCTGAGATCGTTGACCGATCTGGCTTTCTCCGGATCACTGCGATCTATGCAGTCGTTCCTGGGCAGTCTGAATTACTACAGCCGATCCATCGAAGGTTACGTTATCTATGCCTCGGTACTCTACGAATTACTTGAAGTGGAGTCGGCAGAACTGGAGAAACGATCGGATCTGAGGAAGATCATGGACCAGAACGACCCGATTGCACGAGATCACGGCCCACCGGAGCTGCCGATTGCGGGATCATTAGATGAGAGGTGGGTCAGGGCACATAGGGCCTTCATCATCCTGAAACCCAAGATTGCGACTACCCCAGTCTTCCGCCATTTCGACGAGACGAGAACGCCGGTAGTTATCGTATATGCCAGCTAGTGATAATTCAAAATAGTTTCGTAATCTCCATTATCCATATCTCCATATCTCCATTGTGTAAATCGTTCACATCGTATACAAACATGTAAAATGCATTTGGTGCAGTAGCTTCTTTCGTCTGCTGTTGTGGGCTGCACTTACCCCACAGACAGATCATTTATCAGTCGCTCCTAGTCCTCGTCAGCGACTTGGACCATTTGCAACCTTCGGTCACGGCGTCTTTCACGGAGATATACCACCGCACGAAAGCTTAGATGCGGGTCCCATGTCGGGTCTTCGGGTCTTCATAGCCGACCCATTTCACCTTGAACTCTCTGACAGCTCGTTCGGTGCTAGTGGACAGAGGTGTCCTATCGTCTAGTATCGCTTCGACTTCAAATTCACCCCCGACATGATCTGGTTCCCAACTATCTTCTGAGAGTAATTCCCCGTCAAAATCTAGCCGCGTAGCCTCGTTCACATCTCGTGTCAAACGAGCACTCGGTATGTAAGACGTGACATATGCACTACCGGGTAAACGCACTACCGGGTAAAACATGTACCCGCTTCGATCGGGGAGTTCGAGCTCGTAGGCAAACTCTTCTACTTTCTTCTTGATCCTGAACGGCCCATGCCATCGATGTGCAAGTCTTTTCGTCAATCCTGGCTTCACTCGTTCCATGTACAGCCAGACACGGCTCCCGACTTCGAACAGAGACCTCATTGCGCCCGTAGCATCGGTGTCCGAGTCCTCGGTCACTGCCCCTGTCGCAGGCCGTTCATCACTTCGTGTAACGGTTTGGTCTGTTTCTAGGGCCGTGCCTCTTTCTCGACCGCGGAGACTCTCATTGTGTTTCTTGGCTCTCCGAGCTTTCTCGGTGGACTGATATTCCTTGGCCATCTTCAGTGCTATTTCTTGCTGGCGGTTCA